ATTCCAGGAGTGAGACCAGACGAAACGCCTTCAAGTCTTGGGCTCAAATAGGCCTATCCTTGGAATAGAAAAGACTAGGTAAGTGTGTAATTTGCCTTGGTGTCGATGCCTTAAACTCTCCCGATTATTTTGATGTGTTTGTTTGTTCTTGTTATTCCCTTTTTTATTTTTTTATTTGATTTTATTCATGTATTTTTATTTTTATTTTATTTTATTTTTTCTTACTTCGATTAATCCTAGTATTATTATTTTGTGTTAGGTTAAAAAAATAAAGAAAAAAATCTGTTTTAGTCTTATATGCAAGTAGAGATTGTTCGAAATGCGATATGTAGAGCGAAAGTTTTTTTTTCCTTAAGTTCGAGAAACTGAATGTTAAGGAAGGTAAGTTAGAGCAAGTGTGCGGTGAGATAGTCTGGTTTTATGGAGCGAGAAGTCGAGGAGAGAGAGAGAGAGAGAGAGAGAGAGAGAGAGAGAGAGAGAGAGAGAGAGAGAGAGAGAGAGAGAGAGAGAGAGAAAGAGAGAGAGAGAGAGAGAGAGAAAGAGAGAGAGGGAGGGAGAAGAAGGAGAGGGAGAAGGAGAGAGAATAAAAAAGACTGTTGCTCTAGGAAACTGAAGGAGGAGAAGAGAGGAGGAGAGGAAAAAAGACAGGAGGACGAGGAGGAGAGAGGAGAGGAGAGAAGGGGAGAGGATAGGGGAAGAGTAGAGAAGAGTGGAAATGAGGAGAGAAGAGAGGAGAGAAGAGAGGAGAGAAGAGAAGAGAAAAGAAGGGAAGAGGCGAGGACGAAGAGAAAAGAGAAGAAGAGAGAGAAGGAGAAGAAAAAGATGGTCGGACATTATATAATTTAAGAATCCTCGACTGGGTGTGAATATGTTCTGAGAAGGAAGGAAGGGGAAAATTTGGAGGGAGGGAGGAGAAGAGAAGGAAAAAGGGAGGAAGGGATGAAGGGATAAAGAAAGAAGGAAGGGAGGGAGGAAAAGAGAGGGAGGGGAGAGGGAACGAGAGGGGCAAGAAAGGGAGGGAGGGAGGATAGGAGAAGAAAGGAGAGGGTTGAGGAAGTGAGAGAAGGGAGAAAGGGAAGTAGGGAGAGAGAAGGAGAAAGAGAGAAAGGGAAAGGGTAAGTGGGACATGTTAGGTCAATATATAAGTTGCGCTACGAACATCAACCACAGTTAGATATTAAACTGGACTGAAAATGAAGATGGAGGAGAGACAGAGACAGACAGACAGATAGAAAGAAGGGAAGAGAGAGAGAGGAGAGAGAGGAGAGAGAGAGAGAGAGAGAGAGAGAGAGAGAGAGAGAGAGAGATAAAAAGATTGAGAGCAAAAAGCTTATGGTAATCTTTGACGGTGGGAATTGAGTTGTATTTCAGTATGAATGTCCTTTTTGTGTAATCTATTACCTCTCTCTCTCTCTCTCTCTCTCTCTCTCTCTCTCTCTCTCTCTCTCTCTCTCTCTCTCTCTCTCTCTCAACCCTTCCTCCCTCCCTCCCTCACCCTCTCACTCTCCCTGCCTCCCTTCCTCTTTCCCTCCCTCCCTCCCTCCCTCTCTCCTTCACCACCTCTATCCCTCCCTCTTTTCCTCACCCTCTCACTCTCCCTCCCTCCCTCCCTCCCTCCCTCCCTCCCTCCCTCTTTCTCTCTCTCTCCCTCCCTCTCCCTCCCCCCCCTTCGGCCAGGAGGCGCGAGCGACGGCGTGCCCGCGGCCAAGAAGCGGGAAGGCCAGAAGCGACGGCGAGCGCGCGGGCGGGGAAATGTATGCGGTTGTTGGCCGTCGCGGACAAGACCAGAACATTTGCTTTGCGGAGCTGCGTTAGCTTTATGTGTGTGGGAGATGGCAGATACCCTTCCGTACAACTCCTTTGGACTTGAATAATTCAAGACAATTATGCAAATTAACGTAATATCTCAGATATTTTCAAAATATTCAGAGCGCGCGCTCGGAAAATGGCCGACCGCGGAGAGAAAAGACCTTTTGGTCGGTACATCCGGCTCGCGCAACAGAGAAAAACTCCCCTTCTCTCTCTCTTTTTTTCTCTCTTCTCCCTAATTCCTTCCTTCTTTCATAATTCTTTCCTTCCGTTCGTCAGTCGTTCTTAATTCTTTCGCGCTAGGTGGAGAGCTTTGCATGGCTGTGCCTGACAATGCCTTTTTTTCTTTTCTTTTTTCTTTTTTTTTTCTTTCTTTCTTTCTTTTCTTTCTTTTTTTCCTTTTTTTGAGCGTTACTGCCGTCCCGCTGCGGCTCTCCGACCTCCGCACTCCGCCAAATGAGCTTTATCTTCCGAGGTTGCCCGCAGCACGAGGCGGGGGGGGGGGAGAGGGGAAGATAGGTCGACAGACAAAAAGGCAGATAGACAGATAGACGGACGGACAGACAGACAGACACATACACAAAGGCTGACAAGGCGGACAGGCAGACAGACACATACACTTAGGCGGACAAGACGGACAGACAGACGAACGTAAGGACAGATAGACGGACAGAGATAGACAGACAGAGACAGACAGACGCATGCACAAAGGTTGACAGACAGACAGACGCATGCACAAAGGTTGACAGACAGACAGACGGACGGACGGACGGACGGACAGGCAGGTAGACAGAAAGACAGACAGACAGACAGACACATCCACAGAGGCTGGCAAGACGGACAGTGTTAAGATAAATCTGAGTCGCATTAATATGTATATTTTTCTTATTAAAGACACTTGATTGATTAATGAAATGTATATGTCTAGACCTTCAAGTAGTTGATGTTCGTATCATATTTATCAGTTCTTCTTCTTCTCTTTCGTTATGTTAGCCATGTCACTTTCACTCTCTTATATACCCACCTTTTTTACTCTCTCTCTCTCTCTCTATCTATCTATCTATCTATCTGTCCCCTATCTATCCCCTCTTTCCCCCTCTCAATATCTTAGCATCCCCTCGTCCATCTCCCCCGCCCCCCTTTCCCTTCTTCCCTTCTTCCCTCCTTCCCCTTCCTATTCCCCTCTTTCTTCCCCCTTTCCCCCTTCCTCCTTCCCCTTTCCCCTTTTTCCTCGCTCCCTTCCCTTCCCCCTTTCTCCTCCCTCCCCCTTCCCCCTTTCCCCCTTTCTCCTCCCTCCCCTTTCCCCATTTCTCCCTTCCCTCTTCCCCCTCCCCCTCCTTCCCTCTTTCCCCTCCCCCTCCTTCCCTCTCCCTCTCCCCCCCCCCTCCTTCCATACCTGCTGCTCACCGTCCGTATCGGCGTGACGTCACAGTGGCGACGTTGACGAAGGAGCGGCTGCGATAACTGATAACCGGTAATTTACAACGCAAGCTCGGCTCTTTATAGAAGCTAATGATTTCTGTCACCCACTTTTGGGAGCGTCGGCGCCGGGCTGTCTGTCCGCCTGCCGCTTGGAAAGACTTTTGGCTTCCCCCCCTCCTCCTCTTCCTTCTCTTCCTTCTCTTCCTTCTTCTTCTCCTCCTCCTTCTCTTCCTCTTCCTCCTCCTCCTCTTCCTTCTCTTCCTCGTTCTCCTCCTTCCTCCTTTTCTTTCTCTTCCTCTTCTTTCCTCTTCTTCCTTCTCTTCCTCGTCCTCCTCCTCTTTCTCCCCCATCTCATCTCCATACTTCCCCTCCCCCTCTCCCCTACATTCCCCCACCACCTTCCCGTTTCCTCCCCTCCTCCCCTACCTTCTGCCCCTTTCCTCTCTCTCCCTCCCTCCTTCCCCCCCACCCACCCCACCCACCCTTTCTAGAGCTCGGGCTTATTTCGCAGTTAGGAGAGAGACGAAGAAGGGGGAGAGGGAGAGATGATGATGATGATGATAGAAGATTAAGAATAAGGAAGGAAGGGGGAGAGGGAGAGATGGCTGATGGAACGGCGGAGGGGGGGATAGGGGATGGAATGGTGGAGGGGAGGAGGAGGGGGGAATGTGTGTCTTCTCGGTTTCCCTTCTTTCGTCTCTTGAATTTTCTCTCTTCCTCTCTTTATTCTATTCACTGCCTCTCCTCTCCATTTTTTACTGTCTCCTATCTTCTTTTCCGCCACGTACTCTATTCTTTCTCTCTTCCGTTGCCTCTCTTCCACCAGACAGACAGAGACGAAATACAAAAGGATAGATAGACGAGAAAGGTAGATAGAGAGGTAGGTAGGTAGACAGATAGATAGACAGACACAAAGACGGAATAATAATAAAAAAAAACATAAAAAATATAAAGGAAGATATATAGAGGAAAGATAGATATGTAAAAGAGAAAGGGAGGTAGATAGACCGATAGATAGTAAGGGAAAGGTAGATAGACCGAAAGATATAGAAAAGAAAGGTAGATAGATCCATAAATAATAGAAGAGAAAGGTAGATAGACCGATAGATATATAGAAGAGGAAGGTCGGCAGACAGACAGACAGACAAAGACGGCGCGTGGCGGCGGCTCGAGCGACTCTCGGCGTCACCGTGAATTTCGTCGCATCATAGTGGCGTCTTTCATCATGGCGCGGCGTAGCACTGTCTTGCCTCCGTCGCCGAGCCCCGTCTGACCTTCGTGCAGTACCCTGGGTAGGGGGGGGAGGGGGAGAGAGAAGGGGGGGGTCATAGGAAGGGAGGCAGGGGGGAGGGAGGGGGAGAGAAGGGGGGGTTATTGGGAGGGAGCGAGAGGGGGAGGGGGATTTTTTGAAGGAGAGGAAAGAGAGGGGGAGAGGGAGAGAAAGAAAGAGAGGGGGAGAGGGAGAGAAAGAAAGAGAGGGGGAGAGGGAGAGAAAGAAAGAGAGGGGGAGAGGGAGAGAAAGAAAGAGAGGGGGAGAGGGAGAGAAAGAAAGAGAGGGGGAGAGGGAGAGAAAGAAAGAGAGGGGGAGAGGGAGAGAAAGAAAGAGAGGGGGAGAGGGAGAGAAAGAAAGAGAGGGGGAGAGGGAGAGAAAGAAAGAGAGGGGAGAGGGAGAGAAAGAAAGAGAGGGGGAGAGGGAGAGAAAGAAAGAGAGGGGAGAGGGAGAGAAAGAAAGAGAGGGGGAGAGGGAGAGAAAGAAAGAGAGGGGGAGAGAGGGAGAGAAAGAAAGAGAGGGGGAGAGGGAGAGAAAGAAAGAGAGGGGGAGAGGGAGAGAAAGAAAGAGAGGGGGAGAGGGAGAGAAAGAAAGAGAGGGGGAGAGGGAGAGAAAGAAAGAGAGGGGGAGAGGGAGAGAAAGAAAGAGAGGGGGAGAGGGAGAAGAAAGAGAGGGGAGAGGGATTAAGAAGAGAGGGGGAGAGGGAGAGAAAGAAAGAGAGGGGGAGAGGGAGAGAAAGAAAGAGAGAGGGGAGAGAGAAAGAAAGAAAAGAGAGAGGGGAGAGAGAAAGAAAGAGAGGGGGAGAGATAACAACAGAGAGAGGGGGTGGGGGGAGGGAGAGGAATGAAGGATGGAGTGAAAAGAGGCAGAGAGAGAGAGAGAGAGAGAGAGAGAGAGAGAGATGAGAGAGAGAGAGAGAGAACGACAGAGAGAGAGAGAGAGAGAGAACGACAGAGAGAGAGAGAGAGAACGACAGAGAGAGAGAGAGAGAACGACAGAGAGAGAGAGAGAGAACGACAGAGAGAGAGAGAGAGAACGACAGAGAGAGAGAGAGAGAACGACAGAGAGAGGGGGGAGAGGAATGAAGGCAAATAAGAGAGAGAAATAAAGAGAGAGAGAAGAAGAAGAAGAAAAAGAGGGAATTATAAAAGGTTTAGCGGCGAATTCAAATATCGAAGGGCAAGGAGGAGCCAGCGAGCGAACAAGCAAGCAAGCAAGCAAGCAGACAAGCAAGGAAGCAAGGAAGGGAGCAAGCAGCATGCACATCCTGCCCGGCGCGAGAGGGTGGGTGGGCGGGCGTGGTAGGGTAGGGTAGGGGGGGCGTGGGGGGAAAAGGGGAGGGAGAAGGGGAGGGGGAGGGAGGGAGAGGTAAGAGAGTAGGGAGGAAGTGAGGGGGAGAGGAGGGAGGGAGAAGGGAAAAGGGAAAAGGGAGAAGGAGGTAGAGGGGAAGGGAAAAGGGAAAGGTGAGAGGGTAGAAAGAGAGAGAGAGAGAGAAGTGAGAGAGAAGAGAGGGAGGGAAAGGGGAGTGGGGAGGGGGTGGAGAGGAAGAGAGAGGGGAGAAGTGAGGCTGAAAAGAGGGAGGGAGAGGGGAGAGGGGAGGCTGAAAAGAGGGAGGGAGAGGGGAGAGTCCAGAAGGAAGAGAAGGAAAAAAGATCAGGGGGCAAAGTGTGAGCAAAGAGAGAGAGAGAGAGAGAGAGAGGAGGAGGAGGAGGAGGAGGAGGAGGAGGGAGGGGGAGGGGAGAGCGAGGCGAGAGAGCTCCTCCTCCTCCTCCTCCTCCTCTCACGGCTGGAATGAAGCAACAGCTCCTTAACGAACTTAAACTAGGTTAACTTGAAGTGATCTCGAGAGCGCTACAGATTTAACAAGTATGAAGATGTACGTACTTTTGGCGGTCGTACGTACGGAAAGGTGGTCGAGGGATGAAGGAGAGGGGGGAAGGGAACCTTTTGAGGAAGAAAGGAAGAAGGAAAAGATGAAGAAGATAGAAGAGAAAAAAAGGTGAGGAGGGAATGGAGAGGAAAATAAAACTGAGGTGTTTCTGCTTGAGTTCCTCCTTGATCTTCGTCTCGGCAGATGGATGTGTGCTTGCAGTCGGGACCCTCCTACCCTTCCCCCCCTCCTCCCTCCTTCTCTTCTTCCTCCTTCTGCTCCTTCTCTTCGTCTTTTTTCTTTCTTCTTCTTCCTCCTCCTCCTTTTTTTCCCTCTTCCTCCCCTCCCCTCCCCCTCTCTACTACTCTTCCTCCCCTTTCCTCCTCCTGGTCTTCCACCACTTCCTATTCCTCCTTCTTCTCCTCCATCACTTCCTATTCCTCCTTCTTCTCCTCCTCTTCCTTCATTTTCTTCGTCTTGTTCCTCCTCCTCCTCTTCTCTCTCCCCCCACCCCCCCACTTCGCTTTGTCTCGGTTAGGCGATCAGTAAACCTTCTTAACACAGAGTATATGTATTCTCACGGACATAGAACCGACTGGAATTTCCCTCCTTCCCTCCCCCCCCCCCCCATCCCGGTCACTCCCTCTTCCCTCCTCCCTCCTCCTTCCTCTTTGTCCTCTTCCTTCCCCCTTCCTCCCCCTCCTCCTCCTCCTTTTTCTCCTCTCTTCTTCTTCCCCCTCCCCTTCTCCCCTCCCTTTCCCTCCTCCCTCCTCCTTCCTCCTTCCCCCCTCCTCCTCCTCCTCCTCCTCCTCCTCCTCCTCCTCCTCCTCCTCCTCCTCCTCCTCCTCCTCCTCCTCCTCCTCCTCCTCCTCCTCCTCCTCCTCCTCCTCCTCCTCCTCCTCCTCCTCCTCCTCCTCCTCCTCCTCCTCCTCCTCCTCCTCCTCCTCCTCCTCCTCCTCCTCCTCCTCCTCCTCCTCCTCCTCCTCCTCCTCCTCCTCCTCCTCCTCCTCCTCCTCCTCCTCCTCCTCCTCCTCCTCCTCCTCCTCCTCCTCCTCCTCCTCCTCCTCCTCCTCCTCCTCCTCCTCCTCCTCCTCCTCTCACGGCTGGAATGAAGCAACAGCTCCTAACGAACTTAAACTAGGTTAACTTGAAGTGATCTCGAGAGCGCTACAGATTTAACAAGTAGAAGATGTACGTACTTTTGGCGGTCGTACGTACGGAAAGGTGGTCGAGGGATGAAGGAGAGGGGGGAGGGAGAAGGGGAGGGGGAGGGAGGGAAGGTGTGCTGTGTGTGTGTGTGTGTGTGTGTGTGTGTGAGTGTGTGTGAGTGTGAGTGTGAGTGTGAGTGTGAGTGTGAGTGTGAGTGTGAGTGTGAGTGTGAGTGTGTGTGTGTGTGTGTGTGTGTGTGTGTGTGTGTGTGTGTGTGTGTGTGTGTGTGTGTGAGTGAGAGAGAGAGTGAGAGAGAGAAAGTGTGTGTGTGTGTCTGCGTCTGCGTGTGTGTGTAGAAAGTGTGAGAAACTGGAATGGGAATTAAGTAATGAATGTCTGTGTAATTTGTACTAATCTCCAAGCATGCATATGTTTATGACCACAGTACTTACTTATTTAATTAGGCCTATATGCAGTGAGGATGTACATGTATATTATTTTTTCGCGTACGTTTATAAGTTGGAGAGTCTTTTTATTTATAATTTACATCAGTCGGTTTTTGTATTATGATTTCACTTGAACATTTGTTGTGATATGAACTGTCTGTATTAAGAGGAATTGAAGTACAGCTTGGGAACAAAAAAATTCTACAATGGAGTAGACACGATTTTTTTTCGGAGTTCATCGCCATCGTCGTCCTCGACCTGAGTCCGAGCTGTTCCTCCCCGCCCCCCTCGGGCCTGATCCTCTGCTCAGCCCTGGTTACTGACAAGGTGAGCAAAGTTTCAGGTGTGTGGGTGGCGGGCGTCACTCGTCGGCTGGGCGCCCCTCGCCAGCGAAAAGGGATTTTTCACTATTTTTCGTTTAGCTATATAAACATATACATATGATATTATTATATTATATATGTATATGTATATGTAGATATATAATGTAGGTGTGTAATGTACATGTAATTATAATTTATTTATTTACAATCAATTTTAATCAAATACTTTTCTGAAAACGAATCTTTCTCTCTAGACAGAAAGATAGATTTAGATATATATAACCTCTGTATTTCTTCGTGGATTTTTTTTCTTTTCTTTTATGTAAAGATCAATCCGTTTTAATTAAATCCTTTTCTAAAAACGAATCTTTAGTCTATCTCTCTAGACAGAAAGAAAGATTTAGATATATGTAGACCTAAATGTGTATTTCTTCGTGGATAATGTTTTTTTCTTTCTTTCTTTCTTTTATGTAAAGGGATATTTTATGAAGCGTCGGATTTGTCTGTGGATTTTTTTTCCACTTTGATGGGTCTTGCAGTGTGTTTATATTCTTCAAGGTCAACACGTGTCTAATATTTGTTTATTGTTTTCTTCCAGCTGGTGTTTGGCGGCGAAGGGCGGGCCATTGTTACCAGGTCGGCGGAGAAGCTTAATGGAAAGATAATAGAAATGATACAGTGTTGCCAGAGTTTTCCTCTCTCTTTCTTTCTCTCTCTCTCTCTCTCTCTCTCTCTCTCTCTCTCTCTCTCTCTCTCTTAACACAAATTGTTATAGGAATAAATGTTTTTAGATATTTTTCTACTGGTGTATGTTCCAGTTATGAATTCATGTGTATGATTTATATATATATATTTTTTAGAACGAAATAAACTATGAAAAGATGAATTTTGTTAAATTTCTCCCTTTACACTTGACAAATATCCCCAGGAATACGAACTAATTCCTTCACGCGCCACAGGAATTACCGAAGTCATTAAGGACTCAATGATTGAATAATTGATGTGTGTGACCACCTCCCCCCCCCCTGTCCTCTCCTCTCCTCCCCCCCTCCCTGTCTCTTACCATTAAGGATTTCACAGCCACGGGGGAAGGATTCTGGGCATTTCACACTTTCATTCCTTCCTGATTCCCGTGACGAATGGTGTGGGGGGGAGGGGGAGCCTTGGAAAGTAGGGGGATGGGGAAGGGGGGGGGATGAGGTGGGGGATGGGGGGATGGGAGTTGGTTGGGGGTTGGGGGTGGGGGGAGTAAGGGTAAAGGTTGGGGGTAGGGGGTTGGGTTGGTGGGGGGAAGGGAAGGGGGGAGGGGGGGAGGGGGCAGTCGTAAATCTCCACAGCAAAAGTTTGAATTGGAACAACCTTCAGGAAATAGTTTTTTTTTTCTCTCTCTCTTTTTTTTTAAAGGATTAAACGCAACTTCGCTTTGTCGTTAAAGTTAAGGAGTTTGAATATCTAAGTTTTCTTTTGTTTTGCGAAGTCAATGCGTGTAATTTCGGTTGATTTTTCTTGTTTTTTTTTTAATTTTGTAGAAAAAAACGTTAGAGAGAAAAAAACATTATATAGTGGAAGTAGATTTCTTCATCAATAGGTTATGAATAAAATGTAAAAATCTCTGTTATCTACTGAAAGATATGCAATCTACACCATACGAAACATTTTACTTTGCAATGTAACATACTGCAAATGTTAAAATATATTTATTTTTTCTTGCTTAATACCGAGCACATTTCCATGGCAAAATAATGAATACATTATCATATTCTTTATAAAATATAAAAAATATAAAAGTGTATTCGCTGTCTCCATGACACTATGACACAGGAAGGCAATAATACAAATTAATTAAATATGATTTTCTTTTTATTTCCCCAAAAGTATGCAATACTGACCAACAATGGAAACGGCGGTACAAAAATGCCCCACACAGACTAGTATGCAAATATAGTTTTCGTATAATTACTGCTCAAATTACACTAATCTTTCCATATTACCATTAAAAAATTAGCAGGTTTATAAGGCACTGTTTGATCAATAATGAAAGAACAGTAGTTTTGATGATGGTATTCAAACAAGAGACATTTTACCATTAAAGTTCGAATAAATCAAGAATGCGTTAAAGCGGGAATCCCAATCTCTGAAAAATAATCCTTTCTGCTTAAGCCTAAAAAATAAAAAAATGATACATTTGTCAATCGAGAAAAGGCACTGCAGTTGCATGAAAGAATACGGGTATCGGCGGATGTGTTTCCCTCCACCTGAAGCTCCGAAGCTTGAGTTGTTCTCGCCGCCGCCTTCGCTGAAGCTCCGAAGCCCTGGTGTCCGCCGCTCGGAAACCCCGACGCTCAGGGTTTATTGCCTCGTTGGAAGCCGCGGAGCCCTAATACTCGCTGCCTTCCTCGCTATCCAGGATCAGGCTCTCGATGTCCAGGACGTCGACGTGGCCCTTGCCCCGCCCCTGCGTCTGCGTCCTCCGCAGCCTGGAGCCCAGCATGGCCACGGACGACCCGTGCGCCGGGCCCTCCTGCGCGGCGGCGGCGGCGGCGCTGGTGTGCGAGCGCGGCCGCCCTGCCGCCTGCTCCTGCGGGGGGCCGCCGCTGTCCACGAAGGACGACACCGAGCGGATCCTGCTGGCGTCGGAGGCGCCGCTCGTGCTGTGGCTCCTGAGGGCGGCGGCCAGGCTCTCGTGGCTCGGCTGCAGCCTGGGCGTGGCCTTCAGCTTGCCCACCGTCTTGCCGTACTTGCCGAACGCCTGCAGGGACTCGTCGGAGGCGGCCGACACGGACACGTCCTTGAGGAACTTGGCGAGCTGGCCGCCGTCGTCCTGCGCCCAGCCCCGAGCCGCGGGGCCGCCGGCCAGCGCGCTCAGGTTCCACGAGCGCGCGATGGCCTCGATCTCCGTCTGGCAGCTGGCGACGTCCGTGAAGGCGTCCAGGTTGAAGGACGTCTCGAAGGGCGAGTCCTGCGCGCCCTCCGCCTCCGCCAGCCGGTCGTCGGCCGCCCCGGGGAAGGCCGCCTCCCGCTCGCCGCTCTCCGCCTGGCCCAGCAGCTCCTGCACCCTCTTCTGCAGCGGCTGCAGGATGACGTCCAGCTCCGTCTTGGGCGTCGAGCTCTTCACCTTCCCCTGGAGGAAGCCCTCCGCGAGCCAGTCCCGCCCGCGCTCGCACAGTGGCTGCGGCGAGAGAAAAGACGGGCGTTAAGCACCACACAGACGCCACGCCAGGCACGGCAAATATCATAGCCATTCCCGCGACCACAATCCCCAACCGTCGGCCTCGACTCACCTGCTCCTCCTCCTCGTCTTCGTCGTCGTCGCCGTCGTCATCGCCGTCGTGGCTGTCCCGGAACTCCTCGTCGTCGTCCTCGTCGTCGGCCTCGTCCAGCTGGGCCGCGCGCTCCGTCACGATCCCCAGGGACTCGGCCAGGTTGTCGAGGCCGCCCAGGATCTGGTTGATCTGGAGCTCCAGCTCAGCCATGTAGAAGTCCTGGAGAGAGGAGAAGAGTGAGATAGTGAGTGTGAGTGAGTGTGAGAGTGAGTGATTGACTGACTGACTGAATGAATGAAAACAACTAAGACTAAAAAACATAAGAACCCAATCACAGTATCACATAAAAAAAACAAAAAAAAAATATTCACACACTCAAACCTTCCCCCCCCTCCCTTCCCCTGCTCCCTCTTCTGAAGACGACCGATCTCAACACTCCTTACCGGCGGTGTGTTATCCTTGGGTTCATCAACCACCTCTGCCTTCCTCTGAATGAACCGCAGGAGTGACTGGCACCTTTCCTTCGCGTAGACTTTGATGTCCCTCCACGCCACATCCACGCTGAAAAGGAAATGAAATAAACCTCAGGATTTGCATTTTTATATATGTATAAAAAAATTCCATTTCCTAATATCAAGTCTCAAATTCTCATTACCAAATTTTAAAAATAAAATCGTAGGTGCCCTGCCGTAGTAATCTATTTAACTGGAATCGATTACAGAAAGCTCAAGAAATATATTACGTGGGACTTATTTACATTGAAACAAACCGATTTGGTGGAACTTCATTATATTTTCTTGAACTCAATCATATATTTCGTGGGACTTTAAAAAATTACTTTCCGAGACATAGATCACAAATTTCCTTCACTTTTATTCCATTTTGTGGCCCTGAATGATACTATTTCGTGGCCCTGAATGATAATATTTTGTGGCCCTGAGTGATATT